TACCTACTATGTTTTCACTATTATTTTAGGAACTTATATAGGTCACCTCCTTTTTTTTTTTTTGAGAAGGAGCCTCAAGTTATACCCCTGGGTAGAGTGCCATGGCATCATGCTCACAGCAACCTCCAACTCCTGGGCTCAAGCAAGTCTCCTGCCTCAGCCTCCCAAGTAGCTGGGACTACAGGCGCCCACCACAACGCCTGGCCCTTTTTTGGTTGCAGCCATCATTGTTGTTTGGCGCCCAGGCTGGGGATTCGAACCCGCCACCTTAGGTGTATGTGGCTGGCGCCTTAGCCGCTTGAGCCACAGGCGCCAAGCCAGGTCACCTCCTTAAATCTACACACTAATCCTCTAAAGTATGCATTATTATTTCTGTTTTAAAGATAGGATAAGTAGGCTGAGTGATGCCATCATGCTCTGGCCAAACTTCTGCAGGTCATGTGGCTACACAAAGCTGGTGGAGGTAACCAAAGCCACATAATGTCTATAGTTTACATATCTGTCCATGCCAAATGGAGCATGGGGAAGGTATTGGGACAGCAATGCAAAAAACCTCTAAAGTGAATGTGACCCAGGCTTGTTCTGGATCCCTATTTATTGAAGGGGATTAACATCTTCCAATTACAGACCTTGAGAAGACAGCTGGTTAAAGTTCTTATTTGTCTGGAAAGTTGATCCAAGAAAACATGCTCACTCTAATCTCCTAGCCAAAAAGGAAACAAGCAGTCTATACAACTTGCAGTTTCAGCGTTAAACCTGCAAGCATACAACAAAATTTGCAGCATTCTGCTTCCAGAACATAAAGACTTAACCCCGACCTGGTTTTTAAGGGTCACAATAATGAGATTCTGCCCAACCCATCCAGTTCTGGGTACAAGTATTGCCTGCCTTACAACTTCCATTTAGTCAAGAAGTATTGCCAAAGATTCATGAAGATAAACATTACCCTTGTACTCCGGTGGAGACTTGGAACATGTAGGATAGAGAGTAGGACCGAGCTACCCACCTCTGGAGGTATGAAGGAGGCTATCCAGCCCTCACAGAAGTCATGAATAAACTAAGAGGAAATCAGGAATTTGTGGAATTCCACAAGGCAAGAAGCAATTGGAGGAAGCTTGGAGAGAAGTATGCTTCTCTCTAGGAAGAATCAGTTGCTATTGGAGTTCATATTCTGGAATGAGCCTGTCCCATGGTCAGGGCCTAATATATATGAACTCAGGTCTTATCAACTCCGACCAGGAACTATAACTGAATGGGGCATTTACTGGGCTCATACAATTTGCTTCAGACAGGACTGTAAAGAAGCAGTTGGAGGATCCTTCTCTCAGATTCAGCAGCTATATATGGTATATCATGTTTGGGCTTACAAGGATTTTCAGACCAGAGAAGATATACAGAATGCAGCATGACACAAACTTGGCTGGGAAGAATTGGTATATTATGCAGTCCCACTTATTCAGAAAACGGAATCCAGGATCATGATCCCATGAAGAACTCACTCCTCCAGTAAAGCTATAAAACTCTATGTACCTACATATATTTATGTGACAAGTATTTGTCATAAATTAATTTTAATTGTATATCAAATGAAAAGGAAAGACTGAGGTGTGAACTGCTGTACATAGCTTATGAGAGACCTCTTTTCTTTAAAATTTACATGATCACAAGAAAGGAACTATTACATTCTGACTGACTGCAACAGTGCTCTATAGTCCTCTTTGAGACGTCTCTCTGTTGAACATACCTTATGATACTCAGCTACTCCTTCCCATCCTCCAGAAGAGGATCCACATTAATTTCTGAATCACTTCTAGATAAGATTCCAACCACGAAAAAATATTAGCTATTTCTTTATAAAATGCAAATCTGTTTTATAACTAAGGTTCTTAAACAAATTTCTTATACTAGGAAGAAAAACAAATTTTGCTGTTTCTCTAGCCATTTTCTGAGTCTCAAACTAAGAACAAATTATGAATGTACTTAATACCTGAAAATGTTTTAATTCACTCTCATTTTTAATCAGTCAGCCTAGAAAATGGTGTGTTATTACCAAGCTGATAGCGGTGGGCAAACTACATTTAATCAGTCTTCACATATTGTATTGTGATGGCTCTGTGTGAAAGAGAAAAAATGGCTTGAACCTATGTATTATATTTGATTTTGAAATGAACACCTTGAATAGCACTAATTTTTATTTGTAATATTTTTCTATAACAAAACAAGTAGCACTAGGAAAAGAGGTTTTATTTTATAAACAATCATTTGTAACCTCAGATATTCTCTGGTTAATATTTTAGTTAAGTTAATAGCTGATTCTTCCAGGGTCACGTATGCAGGCTGGTGCATGTTGAGATTTATATTGGCATAAACTGCATAAACTTTGTCTAGCTCTGTTTGACTCAGTTTTTTAATATAGTGTGCCTATTTTGTGACTGTAATCATGTGAAAGCCCTGTTGAAATGAAAAATTATGTCTGCCCTACAAATTTATATGTAAAATAAAGTATGAATAAATCTCCTATCAAATACCAAAATAATAATAATAAAGATAGGATAAGTAACTTGCCAAAGGTTAAGTCAATATATTAACAATACAGCTAAGACCTTAAATGAGATGTCTAGCTCCAAAATTTATACTTATCTAATGCAAGAATCAAAGAAAATTGCCACCAAGGGAATGAATTTTCAAGGCCCATAACAAAACCACCTAGAAATGTCATTACTGTTTAGAAAGGACTTGAGGGAAAGCGAAAGTCCCAATGAATAGATTCTGGGAGCAGCCAGCACTTTTGCACCTATTATTATTAAACATTAGCCCCAGACTGGTAAAGAGCCTGAAATTTGACAGTTTCATAGAATCTTCACAATAGAGCTACTTTTCATAACAGCATGAATGTGTACTGATGTCTCAATTCCATGGCAATAATGTATCTTAAGTTTTTCTACAGAAAGTATCTTCAATAATAACATTTTCATTTATATAATATATTATTCCACAAAGAACTGTCACAAGTGAGATTTAAGAGAGATAATAGAACAATTTTGTGAGGTAGAAAGGGCATTCAAAATTACTTCTTTTTACAACTCTGGATATAAGGTTCAAGGTTTAATGACATGAGCATTAATCCAAAATGCACAAAATTCAATATGTATTGAGCAAATGGCTATAAATGCAAATGACACATGTTCCCTCTGCAGAAGCTCATGACCTAAGTAGAAGAGGGAGAAACAAACATCTATAGTACACAGTGGATAAATTTCTAATATCTTTAATTATACATTAACTTTAGTAACTGGATAATGCCATTGACATTCTCATTTTTCAAAAGAGACCTAACAGGCTCGGTGCCTGTGGCTCAAGTGACTAAGGCGCCAGCCACATACACCTAAGGTGGTAGGTTCGAATCCAGCCCAGGCCCACCAAACAACAATGATGGCTGCAACAAAAAAATAGCCAGACGTTGTGGTGGGCGCCGGTGGTCCCAGCTACTTGGGAGGCTGAGACAGGAGACTCACTGGAGCCCAGGAGTTGGAGGTTGCTGTGAGCTGTGATGACACAGCACTCTACCCAGGGGGATAGCTTGAGGCTCTGTCTCAAAAAAAAAAAAAGAG